GAATACAATTTTCCAGAGGTTTGGTAATCTTGGGTCTCAAAAAAAAAACACAAAAAATCCAGAGGTCTTTGAACTTGGGGCTTCTGCAGAAAGAGTTCTGACATATTGGTTTTTTTTGGGTTTTGTTGGTTTTTCACCTTTTTTTTTGGTTCCTCTATCTGGCGGCCCAAGCAGACAGGGGACATCAATAGGAGGAAACATTACAATACATGAATGGCAAAAATCATATCTAGTAAGCAGAGAATGGTTGTGGTGCAGTACCACAAGAGCAAGGGATTTTAACAATATATAAAATATATGGTTTCAAGAATGAAAAAACAGATGAAGAGATGCGAAAGAATTTAGTAATCGGATATTTTAAAAACAATATTGAAGGATACAAAAAACTGGATAAAGTGGCTGATAGAGAAATAGATGAATAAAACTATATTAATGAACATTGGTGTTTGAATCATTTCCATGGTTGTTGCGCCTACTGTGGAATAAAGTTATATATTGAAATGAAGCAAGGCAAATTATCAACAAACTTCACATCACAAAGACTAGACAATACACTGTGCCATTCTGTGGATAATTGCCCATACTGTAAGTATTGTAATTGTAGTGCTCACTGATTATTTTTGAAAAACTTGCTCAAACGTACAGTAGTTGTATTAATATTTTATATAATGAGTTCAAATCAAGAAATATTGAATAGTGTATATTTTGATAGAGCGGGTTATGGAAGTAAAGCAATAGCTTTAAGAGATGCAAAAAAAATATGAAATAAAAATGTCTAATGTTGAAGATTTTTTAGAAAAAATGTTGAGATAAAGAAAAAACAAAGAGGTCATAACAGTTTTGTAGCACCTCATAATAATCATACCTACCAACTTGACATATTTTTTTATATCACCTGATGACATTGAAGCAACACAAAAATTCAGAGCGGGTTTAGTAATGATAGATGTTCTGAGTACATAAATATGCGGTGGTAGTGCCAATAAAGAGTAAAACCCCACATAATTGCTGGAACTATGGAAGGCTTACAAAAAATGGGAAAGAAGTGCAAAATTTTGCATACTGATGATGAAAGAGGTATAGCAAGTGCTGATCCTAAAGAATATGTGGATGGTGAAAGCATTGAATTATACAGGGCAAGAGGACATCCTGCCTTCGCTGAAAGATTTATTAGGACATTGAAAGATAAACTATTTAAACGAGTTGAAAATGATGAGAAGAAGGGAAAGCACAATATACAATGGACTGACTACATATTATAAATAATGCTGACTTATAGTAATAAAGGTGTGCATAGTGCAACAGGACTAACACCAAATGAAGCAAGGAAAGAGAATAATGAATTTCAAGCAAAATTGAATGTATCAGTGAAAGCAAGGAAAGAAAAGATGTATCCAACATTAGGTGGGAGACAAGGTAAAAGTAATGAGGAAGAAAGCAATTACAGAGAAGGGGAGAACAAGGGACAAAAGTATTATACATTAGAAGGATTTAACCGTCCATTATTAAGGCATGAGTTGTTAAAACTATAATCTATTAAATATTTTAAAAATACACGTTAAAGGAAATCTATTTAAAGACATATTATGTTATAACACTACTTAAAATCATAAAACAGCGCACTCTGACAAACACCCGGACTCTTAATTTTTCACGCGGCTGTTTCGCACTTTTGGCCAGCCAAGGAAGTGTTTTCGCAGTCCCTGAAGCCGATAGTGGACTTCTTGGTCTATTCTGTTGAGCTCAGCCGTGTACAGGGCCTTACTACGCCATTGACTCTCTACTCCTGGTTTGCTTGTCCCGATCCCAGCTCTGGACATGTTTAGGCTAGGTCCTTCTAAGTTCGATTGATAAAGTTCTTCAGTTTTACATTGGCAAGCACAACGTTAAAACATGTTTTCAGTGGTTCTTCATGCTTTGGGGCAACAACACCTAAGTTGCTTCGTGCGTGTCTGCGGTGACTTTGCCGCCCTTCGGCGAGCTTGCAGCCACAGAGCAGAAGCTGGAGGGCAGCTTGTCGGTTTAGCACAACCAGTCAGAAACTTTTTGACCAGCACACTCACAGTTGAAAGTTCTTGTTATTTTAGTGCTTACTGGAGTAAGATCAAGTCTAAAGGGATTCACGTCCTTTCAAGATTGGTTCTTGCTAAGAAACGGTTCAGTGATGTCGACGAGAGCATGATTGACTAGTATGTTAGAAGCTTGCGTGCACGCGTGTGGTCATGTAGCTACTCCAACACGGAGATAACACACTCCAAATTCCACAGGTGACTGATGCCAGTTGACTACTTCGGGCGTTGATGTGCTAGCATTGCACCAGTGACACAATTCTTTTTCCTTCCTGGCACTTTTGAATTTGTCAGACGTTGGGCATGGAATGTCTTAATCCAAGGGCCTTTTTGGGTTTAAGAACGCCTCTCGCAAGAACAAGTGCGGCTTAAACCAAGCTCGATTGTGAAAAACCGAAGACTTGCTGTAAGAAGACCTAACGCCTCACCAAAAGTTGTGGGAAATATTGGAAAATCATAGTCGGCAGCAAAAGGCAAGACCCACAACTAAGTGTTTTAAGGAGCCGTGTTTGATGTGTTTGTCTCACATGCAACCATGTTATAGTAATGTGTGAGCATTCTATTGCCAGAGAATTACCTTCCCGCAAGAATAAACATCGGACCTTAAAATTCAACAATCGAAAGGAACGTGAAATTAGTTGAAAGGGACATGAAAAGACTAAGACTAAGAATTATTTTCAGGAATTGATGAAAGTGAGGTTTGTACGGTGGCAGTGGTTTATAACTGTATGTTCTTGGCTTTGCTCAGGGGTATCCTTGCCAAGACCTTTTTAGTTGACGGTTTTGATTTGTGTCCAAAGCTTGAAATGATAGATTTTGCTCAAGAACAATGCGAGAAACGGCAGAATAGGTTTAATAAAGTGTTGAATTTTGGCAGCCAGTGGTGGTTTCTATGTGTATATTCTTAGATGTTGTTTAGTTCTTCAGGAAGAAGATGCAAGAAACTAGAAACCGCACATATAATTGAAAACAGTTGTACAGAGTTCGTTAAAGGTTGAATGAAATATTGAATAATCTGAGTCGGGCTCCATGGAAAGCAAGACTTTGTGCTGCAGGAACTTGATGAATGCCGTGTTTGCTAAAGTCAATTTAGACGAGTATTGCTGATGTGTTTGTCGGAGGACACAGAGGCTTATCATTGTACGTTTTGAGATCATATTGTACGCAGATTGAATCGAATTGCGCGGTATTGCAGAGGCTCTAAGACTGGGAGAAAACCTTCGTTTTTGGAGATCAAACGGCACTTGTTTCAGGAAATTTTCGTGGGAAACATTCTGAGCTCATCACCAACTGCGAGCAGATTGCCTTCTTGGGTGGAGAGCGCCCTGAGAAAGATGTTCTCAACAGCTCCTTTGCAGAGCTGATGTCACACTGCAGACGGACTATCAATGCGTCCTTCAACTCGGAGGTCTTGCGACAATACTTGAACAAGTACTTTTGCACGGTGATCGGCTTAATTCTCATAGCTAGGCCCTTGAGGAATCGGGCGCCTGAAATGGGGGAGCTTCGAAATGATCAAATTGCGCAGTACTTTACATCCACCTGGAGAAATATGGAGGCCATGGCCACAGCAATTCAGGAGATTCAACGAGATTTGCAGATTTCATAACGATGAATCCATGTTTTGTGTTCTATTCAACTTGCACTCCCAATCGCCACTTACAAGCCCCGCGCCCTGGTTGTAGAAGCCAACAAAAGACAAGGTACTAGTTTGTCTGGAATAGCTTGTCCTGACTGGGGTGATTGGCTGGGAAGTTTGATCGTGATCTCGAATCCAAGGTGGTGAAGAAATCATTCAGACCAAGTCAAACCATGTTCCTACACCTGCCGTTGGTTTGTCGAAATTCTAGCATGTTGCTGGCTCAAAGCGTTGAAAGATCATCAGATCGGTACTAGAACGGTTGTGCGAACCCAAGAAATGGACATTGGCAATGTTTTTCACCAACTCAATGCAAAGTTGTGGGTGTTCCGTCAGTGACCATTTTCCAAATAAGATACTCCTTGCAAGAGGAGAAGGGAAGGCATTTCAATCCATTGCTTCTCTGCCAACCAATTCCAGCATGACATGGCTTCATATTTGTGGCCAAAGTCTTTCAAGGTGATGCAACTGTTCCAAGTGAGATTCCCTCAGCAACATATGTGTCCGGAAATCACAGAAGTGAGGGGAATGTTGAGAGAGATAGCTCACCTGCTGTCGGCAAAGCATTCATTCATACATACGTATTCATACCGTCATCAACCACTGATTTGCCCCTTGGAAGTCCAAGCGAATCTTGTAGATATGTAAGTACACGGACGTGAGTGTGTGAGTGTGTAAATGATGTTGCAGATGTTCTGATTAGTTGCTACAGACTGACAGGTGATGTTTGAAAGGAAGGATGGAAGTTGCAGATATGACATGCCCTTTTTCCCTCTTGTTTTCGCGCAGAAGAATGTTTTTGGTTAAGCAAAAAGTGCTCCTGGACAACTGGCTGCACTCAGACTCAGCACGATATGAACTACATTTGAACACTACAGTACTGTTGGATCTTATCGGTCATGCTGCCACGAAGTCATTGTTTTCAAACATCTTTGCGCGGAAGAGTGGCCTTTGAATTCAAGAGGCGTCCAGATCAGGGTGTTTGTAAGTTTGGTGGGCAGTCGTTACATACAAATACTCACGTTGGAGATCAACATAACAAATGGAACTGGAGATCCTGTTTGGAACGGCTACCCCAATTCCATTTGAAGACCGTCCTTTCATGGTGAGTCTTCCTGGAGTTTATGACCAGTGGGCATGTCATAACGTTGCTAGTGAATAGAGCGATAGCTCCTTCAAGCAGCCTCCGACTGCTTTGTTGTTACTTTTTAGGCATCCTTTTGTCATTGCACGTCCGGAAGGGCGAGCCTTGGCAGGACCTTTTTGAGCTCACAAACCGGATTGGCCGACTGAGCGGTTTTGCAACGCGCGTGCGAGAGCTCATGCTTGGGCTGCAAGTCCGGCCTCCTGTGTTGTCCGAGGAGATCGAGGCAGCCAAACAAGGCCAGAAGAACACACCAATATTCCCTCATAGCTATTGTTTAAAATTTTTGGATGGAGGGGGGAGTAGGCCGTAGCAAGCTTGACTAGATAGCACCTTCCAGCTAGTATAGTAATAGCAAGGAAGCTACTAACTAACTAGGTTTGATGCAGAAGAGCTTGGTGGGGGACCTTGCTTGAAGAAGACCTCGCATGGTTGATTTGGTTCCTAGATTTTGTGGGAAACTGCATCGCTTGGCCAAAGGTGAGAATCCGCCTATCTTCCAAAAGGGAGAGCATCTTCAGTTTGAACATGATGCTTGGTGAGCATGTAACTAAAGGAGATACGGACATAGCGCCAGCAAACCCGTCAACTTTGGAGGGACACCATCGAACGCAGCCGCAGCACCCCAAACAGAATCCGAATGTGATGCCCATGTCGTTTCCCCAGAATCAAACATACGGAGGTAGGTATAATGAGTCAAATCGAGATGTATAGAGATGTGCTCTCCCCTCAAAGCCCTTTGGTCTTCTAGGACGCTCTTAAAATTCTCATCGGTCCCTGTTCATTGTGGTAAAATATGACCTCTCGAGCCTCCACCAAAATATAGTTCCGCTAAGGGGTTCTTTGCCAATCCCTCTCATATTGAATGTCTTTCGCCACGTGGAGCTTAAATAATCCACTGTACAGCTGCTTGTTCAGCTGAGGGAAGTCTGCACTCGTAACCACAAGCTGGAAAGAGATGCAGTTTGTCATGTGGCTTTGCTTTTTACACTGAGGTCTCCGTTTACAGGCCTGATGGAACCTTGTTGGTGAAAGACTTGAACTTTACCGTTGAGAGAGGCCAACGAGTTCTCGTAACAGGTGGCAACGGTTGTGGCAAGCCCGCGCCTCAAGACGTAGCCCTGCATCCTTGCAGTTTTTGGCGCTACTAGGAACAAAGGGCATCGCTACTAGGAACAAAGGACACTACTAGTAGCTCCTGGCCTTACTGCTAGGAGCAAGAGGACGCTACTAGTAACAAGGACGCTATTAGGTTGGAGGCCATCGCTACAAGAGGCCATTGCTATTATATATATATGGGTTCCTTTTGCCATTAGGTTCCTTTAGGTTTGGCCATGTCAGCCGTTTCTTTTAAGACCTGGCCCGAGATCTAATTTGCGTGCGTGTAGCTGCATAGGTGTGATATGTTTGCAGGAACCGTGGTAGGGATGGCGTTCATTCAGAATGTATTCCGGTCTCAGGTCAAGCTTGTTTCGTGTCATTCGGAAGCTTTGGCCATTAGTTGAAGGGACGATTACGATGCCGCCCGACAAGGACACCGTTCAGAAAGGCTAACGAAATACAAAGTTAATCTATGTCAATTTGATTTTCAGCATGGGACTATGCAGAAGGCAGACTCTACTGTATGTGCTTTCAACGTCATGAGTCATGCCTTAATCACCCTGGAGGAGATCTATTTTCTCACGACGCTTTCCTGATCCAGTGCATGTTGTTCCTTTTTGTCAAGCCGCGATATCCTCCCACTACTTGCATGTTAGACGTTGTTAGCAGCCTTTTGAGTGGTAGAACAGCTGGATGACTGACTGTATAAATTCATAAAGCACACCTTAGAAGGACCAGCCCTTTGGCAGGACAAATGAAGTTCAGACTGGGGTCGGCCCAAGACCAGGGACGGCAAGTAGTAATTTTTAGATAGGTAAGAGCTACTAGTAGCTACTAGTAGTTTTTTGTTCTTAGTAGCATCCTTGCTCCTAGTAGCGATGCCCGGGTTCCTAGTAGCGATGCCAGGAGCTACTGGTAGCTTCTTGTTCCTAGATAATGGTAGATAGTAGCAAGAAGGTACTGTAACAACATGAAGCTACTAGTGGGAAGCACGCAGATGGTTTGGGTATTTTCATGGAAACTTCTCCCGCTTGAGGGCGGGATAAGCTTTGAAAAACTGTCGAAATAGTGCCCAGTTGTTTATGGAGACACTACAACGTCATCCCGGGAAAAGCAGTTTGCAAAGCACCATGTTAAACCGTGTTTGTCGCGCACGCCCAGGCAGGTGAACTTTGTCCCCTATGGTTCTTTGCGGGACTTGGTTATTTACCCGCAGTCTCATACAGAAATGCTGGCCTCGGGGAGAACTGATGAAGACGTTCGCGTTTGCTTGCGCTGGGCGCATGTCTCGCCTACTGTCATTCATGACGGCCGAGCACAGCTTGAATTCAATGACCAGGGGAACGTCGTCCGGCCTGGCCTGAATGATGTTAGAGACTGGCAGAAAGACCTTTCACCTGGTCAAAAGCAGAGGCTGGCATTTGCAAGATTGTTTCTGAGCTAACTTTGTGAGGTGTGACTGTTGAAAGCTGAAAGTTCCCCTCAAACAGAAGCAGCCACGCCCAGCCATGCCCAGCCAAGGTTTTATCACAGGCCCAGTTTCGTAGTCCTGGATGAATGTACCAATGGCATTTCACCTGACGTGGAGCATGACCTCTATGACCGCTGTACTCGCCTGAACCTGGCGGTGTTCTCCATATCTCACAAAATAGAACTCAAGCTTTTTCATGCGGCTTGGCACTCCAGCATATGCTCCTCACAGTGAGTAGTGTTTGAACCCCTTTGTATTTTGCATCATTTTTGCACTTCCTGAAAGCCTTAAGGAGAGAGAGCTGCATTACCACGGTGATCTGAAAGGGTCGTGGACAATGAGGGAATGCTCCCAGACGCGTGACAAGATCACTCGGGCATCGTCAACCGTAAAGCTGCCTGAGCCTGACAAAGCAGGCCGCCTGGCGGAAGCATTAAGCCCGACATCCTGGTGCTTGTTTGGATGGCAGCTTGAGTCAGTTGGGACGATGTTGGGTCACTTAAGTTTGATCATTTTGTGCTTCGCTGAGGCAAGAAAGAATCGAGAATAACCTATGAGAGGCATGTTTGGTTCGCTGAATGATTGCGGCAATTGCTGCTTGAATTCCGCATTCCGGGTTTGGTGTGTGTGTGTGCGTGTGTATGTGCTTCTTGAGGAGAACACAAAAGTGTTACAGTAAAGAACGGGTCAGCTTGAGAGAGATGCAAGATGCAAGATTAAGAGTTGTGAGTTGTGAGTCGTTAGAATAATTTTGCCATTGCCCTATAGCTATCACTACAGGCATATGTTTTCTTTCGACCAAGTCCATCTCTCTTGAATTAGTGGGCTAGTTGCTGAGAAAAGCACGTGGATTTCGAAGAGTGCAAGGTCCTGAAAGGACCTAACTTCAAGTCCACGCACCAATCCAATAGGAATCCGAGGAAAAGAAGTTGCACAACTCCACATGGCCACCAACCTAAAAGCAATGGCCTCCAACATTCAAGATTCATGGCTGCCACATCATGACATGAGGGAATGAGAGGTATCATGTCGTTTTGGTAACCGGCCATGATCTCCAACCCCGCGTGGATGGTACATTGGGAGCTCGCAAGTTAGGACCCATGTCAATAAAAACATGAACAGTGAATGGTTGGCGTCTACAATTTCTTTATATTCAAATGTTTGAGCCTTTGCAGAACCCAACTCATTTGCATATGTGGGACGGCTGCGTTGCAGCCAGACACTGCAGAGAGAGAGAGAGAGACTGCCATAAACCTGCCTTAGCACCACTTGAAATGTAGGATTTTGTGGTTTGGTTGTTCAACAGTCCCTGCACAAAACATCAAGCTGAAGTGGCAGGGGGCAACCTGTGAAAGCACAAAAGACCAGGACATCATCTCTTCCCCTCAAACCGCCCCACACCTCATGATGTTGGGTGGTCTTGGTGGGTTGTTGCGGGAGGACAACACTAAGTTCTAAGCTTGCGGAGGTTTTCCACAGGCATAGGCCTAGTACAGACTGAGGATCTCAGATTCCATAGAGGTTGCGAAGAATATGTTGCTCACACTTAGATATATGATATAAGGCTCGCAAGAGCGTAACTAGACCTTTAATGCAATTAGACCTCGGCTGAGGGAACAGAATGGCGAAAGGGTCTGAGGAACAGAAATGTTGAAAAGAGCTTCTCTCCCACTCCCCGTCATCGCCTGAGTGCGAAGAGACCAGAGCTGCTCATGCGGCACAAAACACGAAGCGATGGATAAGAAGGCACCCCTCTCCCCACCTCCCTCTCACTCCCTCCCGCTCATATAACCAGTCTTTTTTCAGTCGCCCCTCTTCTCCTTTCTCTCCGTTATTTGTTACTAGTAGCTTCTTGTTACTACTAGTAAGGCACCTGTTCCTACTAGCGTGGCACCTGTTACTACTAGCGTGGCACCTAATTACTTCTGCCTTTCTCCTTTTGCTCCTTCCTCTTGTTTTGTGTATCCTTTTCTTCTCCATAGACTCCCCTTCGCGCTCTTCTCCCTTGCGCTCCTTCTATTCCTTCTTGTGATTCTCCTTCCCCCTCCCACTCATTTCTAAGTCTCTCTCTCCTGGAGCCGCCTGGAGCGAGTCTTTTTCATTTCGGAAGCGGTGATGATGAGCATGCTCGTCTCGTCTCTTCTCTCTTCTCTTCTTTTCTCTTCTTCTCTCTTCTTTTCTTCTCTGTTCTCCTCTTCTCTTGTCTCTCTTCTTTTCTTCTCTCTTCTTCTCTGCTTTTCTCTTCTTTTCTTCTTCTGTTCTCTGCTTATCTTATTCTCTCTTCGTCTCTTCTTTTCGCTTCGTGTTCTCTTCTTTTCTTTTCTTTTTTTAAATATATGCTTTTCTTATCTCTTCTTCTTTTTTCTTAATTTGTTAACTTCTTCTTTCTTGTTGTCGGGTAGTTTATTTCCATGGCCCCGGGATAGGAACATCTTGTGAGATAATGACGATTGTGCGTAGTAAGAGATGTCCATAAAAACCTTTGAGAGCTCAAAAGCTTACGCTACAAGATGATACAAGAAAACGCACAGCCCGCACGTTTCTAAAGTTGTTGCTGCAGATGTAGTAAGATGAGACTCGTGGACCCCGCCAATCATCCCGCTCCCCAGCAACGCGCCGAATTTGCACCAGCATGCTTTCCTTCCCCCAATCGCACGGACTCACGCAAACGCACTTTCCACCGTGGCCGCGCAAAACCGCATGGCACGGCGAAATCACAGACGGAACTTGCCCACACAGTGTGCAAATAGGCTAAGTACAACAATGTAACGTTAAGCATTGTGGGCGCTGCCAGTCATCTCCTTCCCGAGCGACACACCGAATTTACACCAGCACGCTTTCCTTACCCCTAATGGCACGGACTCACGCAAACCCACTTGCCACCCTGGCCGCGCAAAGCCGCATCGCGCAGCGACATCACAGACGGAATTTGGCCACAGACTGCAACAGACTAGATACAACAACGTAACATTAAGCATCGTCGGCGCCGCCAGTCAGCTCGCCCCCCAGCGTCGCTGCGACACACCGAGTTTACACCAGCATGTTTTCCTGCCCCATCCTTCGCCAACGTCAGGCCAGGGATGACATCATGTCATGCCAGGCGTGACATCGTCGTGGCATGCCAGGGGCGACATCATGCCAGGGATGACATCACGATGCAGAAATAATGTCAGAAGATATGTCAGAATAAAATGCCGGAATGAATGTCAGAAGATATGTCGGAAAGAATGCCGGAGTAATGTTTTAATACACGCCAGACATTTCGTCAGATTGAAGCGTCATGGTGGTGTTCATTACGAGAGCCAGCCTTCGTAGCTATAGTGCAGTTGCCAGGAGTACTTCAAGTTCCCTTTCCATCAACCGCTCGATAACCTTTACACACGCACAGCAATCCGCAGCTTTGAAGTCTCATGCGCGCGATACCTGGGAACAGAATTGTAGCTACCCTGGGTCCGTATAAATGCTATGTTGCTATACCTCTTACACGCCTATATAAGTTCAAAGCACGAATGAGACTTCAAAGCTGTGGTTTGCTGTGCATGTGTAAAGGTTATCGAGCGGTTGACGGAAAGGTAACTGGAATTGTAGCTACCCTGGGTATCTATACCTGGCAAGGCGCCAGGTGAGTAAGAAGGGGGGTTCGGGGGGGTGGCCTGAGAAAGCACACTCGAAAGTAGGTTGTGTGTAGGGGTGCGCATTCGGTTGGTTGCAGTGCTATACTTGGCAACTGAATTGTAGCTACCCTGGGTATACCTGGCAATTGCCCTGTAGCTGCCCTGGGTCCGCGCGCGGACCCAGGGTAGGGAAATTGAAGTGGGATACCTGGCAACAGAATTGTAGCTACCCTGGGTCCGTATAGATGCTATGTTGCTATAGCTCTTACACACCTATATAAGTTCAATGCAAGAATGAGACTTCATTTCTTTGGATTGCTGTGCGTATGCAAAGTTATCGAGCGGTTGACGGAAAGGGAACTTGAAGGACTATACCTGGTAATTGAATTGTAGTTACCCTGCGCCAGTTGAGTAAGAACGGGGGTTCGGGTGGCCTGAGAAAGCACAATCGAAAGTAAAAACGCTGGCTTTCGTTTTGCAGCTTCTCAGGTTCGATATAATAGAACAATCAATTGTTTCTAGAATAGCTAGGCTGATGATTTTTTGTTTTTGGGGGGGAGGTGCGATAGTTTAATTGATTTATTGTTTATATATAATTATGATTTTTATGGGATTATGGACATGAGGAAATTGAAAAAATAGTAATTTATTGTGTTTATCAATAAAACGCTAAATTTAATTTGAATTATTCATTATATAGATGCTAATATATTTGATAAAGAATATCTTATATTTGTTTTTATGGAAATTTATGATTATATATTTTGTTATATCGATTTAAAATGATATATTGCTACGAGTGAACGAAACGTAGTGATAAGACGAGTTTTTATGCTCATCTGCCCTTTTTATTCTTAAGTTTCTTCTGGGTCGCTTGTATGCGGTGGGATCGCTTACGGGCGAGGTTGGACTATACTAGGTCCTTGGATCCATCTGCCCCGTAATTTAGAGTTTTTCAAGGATTTTGCGGTGGCGGAAGGTGGATACGTAGAATTGGAGCAATTCGATAATGACGAAGAACGACGAGGTACGGCACTTTGGCAGATGGACCACATTATCGAGAAGAAGAAGAAGGAAGGTTTGTGGCTCCAAGTTAGGTTGGTTGCTGCAACCGACGAGCACCTACAATGGTGGCTTAAGAGAGGGCCAGGGAAGGATTATCGTCGCAATTTCGTGGTCTACTTGTGCTCCACGAAACGTCACCGTAAACAAGAATTCCATTCGGATACGTTCCGGGATATTACATCGGGCGATATCATGGCATGTAAAGTCTCTTCGGTCAAGGAAGAAATTGATGGAGAAATTGCCATTTTGGTAGGAATAGAGCCTCTATTCGATCCAACTTACGGAGCCGCGGCCGGGAAACTAGGACACTTGGATTGGGAAGTAGATATTGGACCCGACGCGCTCACGAATTTGGATATTCCTGCGAGATTGGCCGCACTGAGGAAAATAGTGGCCTTAAGGCAAAAGAGGCTGAAGCTGAAGAGGATCGGAAGAAAAAGAAGGGGATTGAATAGGTCATTGAAGTTGTTGATAAAGAAACGAAGGCCAAAAAACACGTAAGCGTAAGAAGGCCCTTGATCTAGCACCGTTGTGGTTCGCCCACCGCACTGATCCACCATCTGGAAACGTAAGGATAAGTCCAGAGAACGCAAGGAGGAGGAGCCTTTGCGAACAGCCAAGCGCAAAAAAGGTAAGCGCCCTAAAAAGGGGGGCATCGGTGGCGAGGAAGACCAAATAGGCTGACCGTGGTCCCTTTGGTATTGGTCATCGTGTAACTTTCCCGGATGAGAAGTCGGATTTAAAATCGTCTGAGGATGATGACGAAGACTCTGGATCGGATTTTCATGCGGGCCCTTCCACGAAGTCGCGACAGCTTCAGGAATACTCGGAATAACATCCGGGTCGCCTGGCCTCGAGGCTGCTTCAAAAGATGCATGAAATCTTAGCTCGGCAGGAGGGGCC